AATTTATTATTTGCTAGTGGAAGTGTACATAGTGAATGGCTATTTTAGGAAGTATGGTATCTAGTTATAACTATTACTTATTTTTTGGATGTTTTTGTTAATTTATGAAAAAAGCAAACATATGGGCCTTGAGGAAAAATTAAGTTGTAAAGCTTCAAAATCAAAATGTTTTCTATACATTCACATTGTAAATATGATTGTAAAGACTTTGGTATATGGCAAGTATTTAAGGCAAGTTTTATAAAATTTGTGTAATTATTTAAGAAAGTGTTTTTTTAGTTAAATAATTAGAAAATGTTTTTTAACCAAGTTTTAAAATTTTTTAAAACCTTTGTTCTTATGTTAAGTCCAAAAGAAGGTTTAAACCATACAGTTATTAACATATAATTACATGATCTTGATTTTAATTGTGTTACGGTAGGATTTGGCTTTAAATAGATTGTTTCTTTATACCAATATATATATATATATATATATATATATATATATATATATATATATATATATATATATATATATATATATATATATATATATATATATATATATGTATATATGTATATATATATAAGGGTGTCCCAAAAAATATTTTTTTTTACACAATCAAAAAGCATGGTATATATCCTGGTTACATACCTTGAGTAAAAGATAACCACTAAATTTGAGATCTCTAAACATATGTGAAGCGCAAGGTGTAGATTTTCATTTTTTAATAAATATCCAATTTTCTACCCATTTTCAATAAATCTGGAAAAGATTGACAAAAAATTAACAAACAAAAAATAGTATATTTCTTAGAGCTCACACGTTGTTTAATCTTTCATCAGCATTCGCTTGTCAACCAACTTCCTGTCCTTAGCCACCAGCATAATATGTTGTCTCTGACTTTCAATGTTACTATCTGCTAAGAACTCTTGAACTAGACGGATATTTCTCTCTGCGCAATCGTTTATACATTAGATATTTGAGACAAATTCCTTTAAAAACTTGAAACTGGGCTGAAGTTTCAAAATATACTATCAGAAACTCAAGGTAGTACATCTTCTTTGCTGAGATTCAGGATAAAAATCAGGTACCAGCTGTTTTTCCCAACCAACTCATACAGGTGAGTATTTTTGTATACAGGTTTCTTAATATCAAAGTAAGAAATATCCTCTGGATAGGGGTATTTCAAAAGTTCCTGGATCATTAATGCTTTTTCCTCATCATCTACATTTAAATCAGCAAGTGACACAATAACAACATCTTCTGTGAAGTACCATTTTTTTAAACCTTGCATAAAGGCCTTTCCTCGGTGCTTTAGTCTCTCCAGTCAATGATTGCACCAAATGACAAATGTATCTCTCATTTATGTGCCTGCGGCATAAAAGCCGCATAATATGCTTTCCAACAACATATTTGCTGATAAGTTGAATTGCCCCATTATGAGCACCAGTGTTTGAAGCTGTCGTATCTGCACAAATATGGAATTATTTTCTTCTATTTCAAAATATTTCAATGCATTCTTTATTTATTTTGTCTGTTCTTTTCTTTTGAAAGAATTGGCTTCAAAAACTCCTAACAAGATGTCATTACTATAATCATCTTCAGGAACTGTTACACTTACTGCAATCCTTTCCTTTTTTACAGTAATATTATTTTCATAATCCATTTCTCTGCACAATTTACTGTCAAAGTGTAGGACAATTTTTTTTTACCAATTAAAACATCCTTGCAGCCAGCTCCAATTTCATCTACCTTGTTCTTGATTGTCCCAAATCTTTTCCTATGGGTTCTAGATTTTGAAAGAACAATGTCTTCCATGTCGTGCCCAGCATGCCTTAGAATGGAAGATTATAAGTTGTGTGACCCCTAACACCAAGCTGAAATCTTGTAGCTACCTCACTAGTAGATTTTATTAATCCATATAAATAATCCTGATAAAGACAGCTGTAGCTCATCTTTTCTTTTTTTCCCAGTTGATGGTGCACGCTCTTCAGGATCTTTGTCAGTTGATACATCAAAAGATACTTCTTGAGATGAAATTGACTGAGAGGACAAAGATTCGGTTTCTGATTCAGAGACATCAACTTGTTCAAAATTAATTTTATCTTCTGAGTGTTTTTCAAGGTTTCTGTTCAGATCTTCTCTTCTATCTAACCTCCTTTGGTAGATCATGTCAATCTCTGAGGTAAGAACCATTTCTCTTATGAACTTCTGGTCTTCATAGTATTCTATGTCTTCCTGAATTGCCTCAGCTGTCCTTGTCTGGTCTCCTCTGAATTTTGACACTAAATCTTTACTGCTTATGTCAAACAGCTCATTTGACATGTCAATAAAGTCCTTTTGTAGATCATTTAGATTTTGACTAGCACTGAATGGTAACTTGAAATTAAAAAAATTAAAAGGAGGGAAAAATTTTTGTTTAAAATTGTAATATGTAATTTTCTTTAAATATTTACATATTTTAACACCAATCTATTATGGGGTGGACCTTCCTAAGTTCCTGAATCAATAATAGAATAATAATGAGTGTTTTCCATTCCCTTTTTTGCAGGTTGTTTCCTCCAACCTTCATTAAGGATGCTAAAAACTGTTTGAATGTGTAAAACCAATGGTAAATATTTAAACCTAAAAATGTTTAATATGTATCTAAAATAGTTTAAATGATGCTTATAGTAAGTGAATTACTTCTTACTTTTTATTGTCGATCTGTTTTCTCCATTTTTTGTTAAGTCTTTCAATCTTGTCCCTTATTCCTTGTCCTCTCATCAGGAAGTCATCGTGAAAACCAGCTCTCCCGCAGACATTCACTACTTCTTTGACAAGACACTCTCTAGTTGTGCCCTTACAGTCTGTACCAGGAACTTGACTTGTAAACTGGTTGGAACTCGTCTGCAGAGGGCAACAAATATTAGACTTAGTTGACTCGAATCTCAGCTGCTTTGAGGATATAATATTACAGTATCTTTTAAATATATCTCCATTTGTGGGTAATTGTGACTTGGGAAGCTCTTTTATGGGCCTGTCTAAAAGATATAGAGGTCTCCTTGGGTTCTGTACTACACTATATACTCGTTTCAGCACTTCTTTATCAAAATTTCTTTTTTTTTTTTCTTTTCCCATTTCCCTCATTTTTTTTTCTCTGAAAAATAAATAAAAATTACATTTAGGATATGTTATTGCATATTATTAACTACAATAGTTTAGCTTTGTTATGGTTTACAATTCAATATTTTTGTATGTTTCACAAGATATACTTTGTACACTTGTTATCGTTAAAATGAAATATTTGTACCAAAGCGCTTTTACCGTGACTTTCTGTGAAAATATTCAAACAATTAGTAAAGACGATGATCTTCTCTTCTCCACAATACATCGTAATCTTTTAACAACACTTTTTATATTTGAAAACATTGTTTTCATTGAGGGTCTTTCAACTCTCAAATTTAATAAAATTACTTATTTTGTCATAAATAACAAGGAAATTATCCATGCTAATTTTTTTTTTTTTTTTTGGGACACCCTAATATATATATATATATATATATATATATATATATATATATATATATATATATATATATATATATATATATATATATATATATATATATATATATATATATATATATATATATATATATATATATATATATATGTATGTATATATATATATATATATATATATATATATATATATATATATATATATATATAATCTTGCATGGTAGTGAAAAAGAGTTTCCCATAAACTGTAGTTTTAAAGAGCGCGTTAATAAACCAGACCAGAAAAAGTTTAAAAAATTAAACTTTTTTTTTTTTAAATGATAGACTGCCTGCCCAAACCAAACCCTCAGTCGATGTAGCAGCACTCCCTTGCGAGTCAGGCTATTTGTCAGTCGATGTAGCAACACTCCCTTGCGAGTCAGGCTATTTGTCAGTCGATGTAGCAGCACTCCCTTGCGAGTCAGTCTATTTGTCAGTCGATGTAGCAGCACTCCGTTGCGAATCAAGCTATTTGTCAGTCAATGTAGCAGCACTCTGTTGCGAGTCAGGCTATAAGATAGTCGATGTATCAACATTTACGCATGTTTTAAAAATGTTTTTTAATAAAACAAAAACAAAAACACCACTAATAAAAAAAAACTTTCTAGTCGTTATAATTGCAGTTTTTTAAAAAAATAATAAAATTTAATATACTTCCGCATAAATTTAATTGCTTTGACATTTCGACGACAATCAAAAACAGCTTAAGAGACAAGGTAATTAAAATTGTAGTTGAAAGAGACTTTTTTTACATTAAAACGCTCTTTCGACTACACTATATGGATATATATATATATATATATATATATATATATATATATATATATATATATATATATATATATATATATATATATATATATATATATATATATATATATATATATATATATATATATATATATATATGAATACTAAGTGAATACTAAGTAAATACTTTCATATCATTATGTATATTTTAGTATATTTGAAAGAGTGCTCAATAGATAAACTAGAGCTATATAATATATTAGTTACTGTTACCCACAGTACCAGGAATTAACTAAATGTTTATATTTATAATAGAGTATTGCTACTCAGAGTTTTATAGTTAGAGGCAGCAAAATTAACTTTTTACTACTTGCCTGATGATTGTAGTTAGACATCATTTCATATGACATACAATTTTTATATGGAATAAAACTCCAGCAGCTACATGTGTATGATATCAGTGTGCATCTAATGCTGCATTCAAATTTGAATATATATATATATATATATATATATATATATATATATATATATATATATATATATATATATATATATATATATATATATATATATATATATATATATAAATATATATACATATATATATATATGAATTATTAATTTGAAAAATTTATGTTGAAATTTTTTTAATTAATGATTTATAATTTGTTATCATTTATCATAATTTTTTGCATTGTTATTTTCTAAAACAAAATTAGGTATTCTCCATTTGGTATTGGTTGTTTGATAATTGCTAGCTTTTCTGAGATGGAGAATGTATCTAAGACGCTTTCTAGTTTGGGTTTGTTCATCACAACAGTCGTCCTGGGAATTGCTATACATGGATTTGTTGTTTTGCCCGGTTTATATTTTGCATTTACTCGTAAAAACCCTTATATCTTTCTTAAAGGAATGTTTTCTGCTATGGCAACTGCATTTGGTACGAGTTCAAGGTAATACAATATTTCTACCTTTAGATTTTTTAGCTTTAAAGTGACTGACTGTAGGTAAGGAAGCTTTATTTTAAATGCCACTACTCAATAACTCCCAATGCTTCAGGGGTTAAAATGCTGTTAAAAAATAGCATTAAAAATATTATATTAAATAGCATTTATTTTTTGAACTATTCTCATATACTATTTTTTACATTCTGTTTTGTATGTTATATTTTAATTTTTCATTTTTTTACTTTTAGTTAATGTGTAATGTATTTGGCTGCAAAATAATAAAAACAAAAATTTCAATTGTTTTTTTTTCTTTTTTTTTTAACTTTTTTTAAATTTTTGTTTATAATTTTTGCTTTGAATTTCTCTTTTACACAAGTAAAACATATTTAGATATATATATATATATATATATATATATATATATATATATATATATATATATATATATATATATATATATATATATATATATATATATATATATATATATATATATATATATATATATATATATATATTAGTTAATAACCACCAAAATAACATTTGTTATTTTTCTTTACATTCAAGGTGTATACAATAACTTCACAATGAGTAGAACATACATATATTTTCAATAACCAACTTACTAATCCTTTTTTAACAACACCTTTCATATATCCATATTACCCCATTGGTGGGGTAATATGGATATATGGGATACTCATATTATATTTGATATATATATATATATATATATATATATATATATATTATATGTATATGTATATATGCATGTATATATATATATATATATATATATATATATATATATATATATATATATATATATATATATCACTTATTGCTTTTTAAGTATTTAAAAAGTCTAGTTGTGTTGGTTATGTTTTCTTTTTCTTACTGATACAGTCTTCTCTTCAGCTTTTTTCTTCTCTTCTTCTTTCAACCTTGAAACAACATCTTGCGCTGTTAAAATTTTGCTCTTTTTGTCATGGAAAAAATTGCCAATTCAAAAAAACATTGCTCTGTATTTTTTTTGAATTCGCAAATGCTGTTATTGTATGTTGACTTGGGTTAGGTGTAAGTACAAAACCAATTGCTCTTTGTAGGTTTTTTACTACATTATTTTCTTTTTTGTTAGACACATCTACTTCCTCGCTCTTTGGTTGCATATTCACTATCTTTTTCATTGGCTTTGGTTTGCCAACAGTGTAAAGACCACTACCATTAAAACTGTTTTTCAGAAGTTTACTAACTATCTTACTGACAAGAACTTTTAGTAAAGTTGGAAACGCAGATTTGTCAATATTTTTATGTCTGCTTTCTATTAACCAATTTTTAAGGATTTTCTTCTAATAGGAATTCAATGGAGCAAAAATACCAACATCAAAAGGTTATAAAGCGTGACTTGTGTCCGGAGGTAAGTAAAGTAAAATTGTATGATTGTCCAGAGCCTTTTTACCAGTAGAATATGTTATATCTCTATTGTGTCCATCACACAGCAGCAACACAGGCTTTTAATAATCCTTTACATGTATAATAAACCTGTCAATCCAATTTTCAAAAATATACTACTCCATCCAACCTGGTTTTGTTACACCGTACATTGCATTTTCTGATTTATTTTGACACTATGCATTATAAAGGTGGATGGCTTTGTAGATGTCTAAGGGAGATTGACACTGGCCATTTGCTTTGTACAAAACAGTGCAGTATACATTGATTTACCACATGATGGAGCAATGTAATAGGCTGTTTTTGATGTTTTCCAAACAAAGATTTTTCCTGCTGTAGGATTTGTACGTAAACCTGTTTTATCTTAATTAAATATGCAATGTGGTATTAAATAAATTATTATTGTTTAATGTCTTCTCACATACCTCAAAAAAATCTATTGTTTTTAGAGATCATTGCTCTTGCTTTTGTCAAAATTTCAGTTGTTTTTTTTCCAAGAACTACACTCCATCTTTTTTCAAAATATATGCACCAGTCTTTCCCTGGCTTATCATTTTTGAATGGAGTTTGCCTGTAACTGTTATATAGAATTTAAGCATCAGTTTTATATCTTCTCAATCTTCTCTATCTTGTGGAAAACCTTTATCAGCTAAGTACATCAGGGCTTTTACAAAAAGTTTTTCTTCAGTATTTAAGTAAAAAACCAACGACCCCCTCTAATTCTTTTGTCATTCCTTTGGATTTGATCATGGGATTGCCTGTATAATGTCCCATAACGAATTCCAAAAGACTTTGATATTGTATGTACCAATAGTCCTGCGTTGATATTCACGAGGCATGATAATTTATTTCAGTCTTATTATTTTATCTAAAATATTATAAAATAAACTTTAATTATATAAAATATAAAATTGAATTACAAAATAAAGAGGAATACAAAAACAGAATATAAAACATAGATGGTAGTTTTACACTAGCCATTCAGGGGGAAAATTTTGAAATATGATCTTTATGTAAATAGTTCAGTAGCATTATATAAAACTATTATATGTAACTGAAAAATGTGTAATTCTCTATTAAAAAGCAAAAGTCATGTAGCTTATGACTATCCCCACTATCATTTTACCTGTATACCCTTTTTACCCCATTTTAGAATTTTGTATCAATATGGGTTAGAGAACTTGAATTAAATTTTACATGTTACATCATGGTCCAACGAATAAATTTTTATCAATATACATGCATAAGTAATATTATTGAATTCTGCAGACAAAATCAAATATAAACATTGTTAATGCAAAAAAAAAAAAAACTAATTATTTGTGTACTGTTGGCAATTTTCTTGTTTTAGAAATATGTGTAAATAAGATGTATGCATATTTATAAAATATATCCATATTACCCCAACTATCCATATTACCCCACTCTACCCTACTTTTACACTACTTACTGTTGATTGTTTGATTTTAACTTATTTTAATTTATTACTACAACTTGTAGTACCAAATACAACAAATTCAGAAAACAAAAAAGTTTTCTGTTCAGTTCTTTTTTTGACTTTCACAAAATAAATCTTTTGTCGATTATTTTTGTATCTCATGCAGCAGGAATAAAAACAGTGACATTCAGAGTTGCGAATATAACAAATTGTTACTAGTCTTTCCTACCTTTATATCATATGGCATTTTCAGAAAAAGAAGTAAAAAATAAAGAATAATGAAAGAAAAGTTTACTGCCTCATTCCAAATGCTCAGTCGATGTAGTGGCACTCTTTTGAGACAGCAGGCTATAAGATAGTTGATGTGATTAATTTATCTTATTCAATAAACAAAAAATGTTTAAAAATTTATAATGTATAATAATTGATCAATATTGATTAGTAAAAAGTAAAAATTGTTTAAAAAACTGAATTTAGAAATTTTATTTCTAATTGAATAAATTAGAAATAAAACTAATTATAATTAGTTTTTTATGATAATTTTTAATAACTATTATAATAATTATTGTATATATTTACTTCCTCAAGGCCCAGGAAGCTATTATAGTTAAGGGGGCTTCTCATTTTTTTTACAATGAAAGCACAATTCAAACAACATAATAAAAATGAAATACGGTAGTAGTATATCTGATACTGATAGTACCAATACCGGAATACTGTTGTTACTGCGCTTTTTTAAGTACCGAAATTCCAGTATTGAAAAATGCTTTTGGTATTGGGTGCACTATTTGGCACAATATTAAAATACACTTACAAAACAAGGATATTGAAAAAAAATGTTTCAATTTTCTGAAAACAGTACAAAAAAAGAAACTGTTTTTAATACAATGTTATAATAAAAGATAATTTAGTAAAAGGATTAATCAAAACAATATTTCTTCAAAATAATCAAAACAAAAATTCTTTTAGAAACTAAAATTCAACAAATATTGACACAAAGTATAGAAAAAACTGAATATAAAATTAGAATTAGGGAGCATTAACATTACTGTGATTTGATTGCTGTACTATTTTATTTGCCATTAAAATAAATCAAAAATTTGTAATTTTATGGTCATAAAATTGAACAGCTAAACAGGTGCTTCACTTTGAGATTTGAATTGAGGAAATTAAATTTTTGTAAGAACCTTTTTAAAACAAGTTTGCAAAAATTAAAGATTAAATAAATATAATGGATTGTATAATGGATAAAAGGTTATTATTGTTGTAAAGGTTGTAAAGGTTATTATTATTGTTAGGTTATTATAGTTGTAAAGGTTATTATAGTTGTAAAGGTTATTATTATTAAAGTTGTATAATGGATAAAAGGTTATTGTTACTGCCATGTATTGATAAACTTTTATATTTATCTGTTCTTACTTTAGTGCAGCAACGTTACCTGTGACTTTTCAATGCCTTGAAGAAAAACTCAATATCGACAAAAGAATTACTAGATTTATCATACCAATCGGAACAACAGTTAACATGGATGGTACTGCTCTTTATGAAGCTGTCAGTGCAATTTTTATTGGTATGCAAGATATTTTTTTTTAACAACTTTATTTTTAAATTTGATATAGTATTTATCAAACCCCTTACTATTATGCTTTTAATTTTGTTAGCTTAGAAATTAACTTTACTAGAGCAAATTAAACTTTTTTTTTTTTTTTTTGAAAAAAAAACTATAACTTGTTACAAAATTTACAGCTATCAAGATCTTTACAGGACCTGTAAAGGTCTTGATAGCTAGTTTAATATTTTTGTAATAATTTGTAATAAAGTCTTGGTAAGTCTTTTTCACACTGTCCATGTCTATACTTCCATATTAATTGAATATTCTTAAATAGTAGTTAAAAAGTAGTTAAGTTTAGTAAACAATAGAAAAGTTCATTCAAAAAATGCTCTTAGAGTAAAAAAAAATTAACACTTTTTCTGCATACTTAGAGCTTATTATAACGATTCCCATTTATCTATTTCAAAAAAAAAAGTCTGCACACTATCTTACTTTAAGAAAGAAACTTGTCTCTTTATGGCGTTAGATTTATCTAATTGATTATGTAAACACATAAGTTTCTCTAACATAAATGACAATTGCATCAAGCTTGGTTGGGAAGCGGGTGCGATCGCACTCGATAACTGACCACAGAAATAATATTTAGTTGCGAAAAACTGTCCAGATTTTTTAGTCGTTTTGAGAACATTCAAGTTTATGCATGTTTCCTTGTTTGTCCGCAAAATAATAGTTAAGTCACTGATCTCAAAATATAACTGGATAGCGGATTCTATTGTTTTTCCGAAAAATGTTGAAGTCTAAATTGGCCTCCCAAAATGGCGGCAATTTTAGTTCCTAGTGGCGAAACCGATATACATTCTATTTTGCTTTATCAAAATACAAAAAACAATAATGAAATAAGACTAATACATTTGTAAAAAAAAAACAAATGAATTTTATAATTATTAGAGAAAAAAAAAGGAAATTGTTTTTTTGAATAATTGAATTTATTATTAAATGGCATTAGTGAAATTTACAATTTTAGTTTTATGTATAATTTATGAACCTTTTAGTTCTAACTAAAAACGCTATAACTAAGAATAAGAACCCAATACTGTATGCTAGAAGGTTAATAATTGCTCATGTTTACCATGTATAACAGCATGGTAAACAGCAGCAATTATGCCTACCTACAATTTTATACTTATATTTTTTTAAGCAAGATACCAATTTGTACAAATGCTGCATGAACTATTAACTGAGTGCTGTAAGTACACAAAAACTCAGGGGCTCTTTCTAGACTTATGTTATACTTAAATGCTATTATTGCATATATTATATGATTAAAATGTTTTAAAGTGTCACTTATACTGGTAAAAAAAAACCAGGTCTGAATTATAGTTATTTATAATAACTTTTAAAACGAATAAAAAGGAAATAATCATTTCTTATAACTTAAAGGATAATCACTCAATACAATTGGTGATGAAATTGTATGTAAAAATACATTTGTTTGAAAAAAATGTATTTATTAAATTTTTGATATACAAATATTCAAAACACCTCTTTGAACTATCTATTTAATTAAATATATATTTATACTGTTTACCTGCTGTTAAGTATTATAGATATATGTTATAGTTTGCTGACTTTTTTATATTATTAAACTGTATGTTGCAGTTAAATAATTTTATATGTATGCCAATGAGTTTATTTGCATAAAATATTGATTACATGACATATTAAATTCAAGAAACCTATTTGCTAATGGATACAAGTCAGCATTGTATGCATGTAACGAGATTTTTTTTTTCCATTTCTTGACATGGCATATAATTATATCATTAGTCTTAAAGAGATTAATTGGTATGCAAATGATCTTGTATAGTCTAAAGACTGATTTCGTTAAATATTTGGTAGCAGTTAAATCTGTTTAAAATATATATCTCAACTGAGAAAAAAAAGTAGGTTCACCATAAAATTATTTAATATATAAGCTCAGTCAAAACCATCTAACAAGCTCTTTATTGTGCTGTGAGATCTTATTTAGCTGTGAGATCTGCAAGAATGTTTAACAACAATGTCAAATGCCAACAACTCACAGTCACATATAAACAATTCTTGATGCAAAGTAGCGTTCAATTTTCGAATGGAAACTGCAGCATCAGAGAGTTGTGTGTACTTACAGAACTCAGCTAATAGTTCATACAGCATTTATAAATTTATGATATCTATTTAAAAAACTAGTTTATAATAGTTTTTTTTTTAAAAAGATATTCAGCTTCCTACCATGCAGTTGTGTTATTAACCTTCTAGCACACAGCATTGGGTAGTTAAGAACTAAAAGATACATAAATTGTATAAAAAACAAAATTAAACAACTAATTTATGGTAAAACTAAAATTAAAAGAAAGTAAATAAATGAAATATAAATAAAAAATGAATAAAATTGTTTCAATTTTTCACATTTAAATGAATTATTCGAAAGTTGTTTGGAAACTTTTAAAATGGATAACTACTAGGTTCTTATTTGTTTTCTACATCTACTAATAGGTTATAACTAGTTATAAATATTAGTGGAACCTACTACTATTAGTAATAGTTAACTATTAGGTTCAAGGTAATAATACTAGTTTCTAGTGTGTTCTTTACTAATGATAAATAAACTAATACTTAATTATTTAACTAAAAATTTTTATCTTATTTAACTAAATTAATTTTTTATATAAAAAAAGAAAGATATTATGCAAACTAATTATTACATGTATATTTTGCTAAACAAAATATTATAAACATATTAGAAATTTACATAAATATGTAATATAGCGCTTATTTTTAAAACCAAAAAATATATTTGTATTTGAGGCTTGTACATCTATTTTCATTTAAAGAAGATATAAAAGTTCGTAACCAAAATTTCTCAATTTGTAATCAACTAAATACGCCACCATCTTGGGAGGCCAAAACTGGCTTCAAAAATTTTGCCAGTTTATTTTGAGATCAGTGTAATTAAGTTCATTATTTTATCGTAAATTTGAAAATATTTTGTTTTACGGACATACATGGAAACATACATAAACTCTAATGTTCTTTGTGCGAAAAAATAAAAAAAGAATATTCACGAACACAAAAAACCCGCCTAATCTACGAACAACTAATTCCATTGGTTCAAAAAATACTAACCGAAATTTCTAGAGTATTTAAAAAATACTAACCGAATGTGCTAGAGTATTCTGTTGAAATATTTTTTAAAGTTGTATTATTTGAGTTTTGTATGTTTTCGTTGAGATTTGTAGCATAAATTGTTTTAAGAATATGGCTCATTCTTGGAGCCACATCTACAAAGCTATAAATGTTTTCAACTAACATTTGTTTACAAAAATAAATGTTTTATATTTATACTTTTTAACTTGTCAACGTTTTGTAAATATATTATAGATTTTATTAGTATATTCTTATTTTTTATATATAAGGAATGTATTTTTTATGTATGTAATGTATTTTTATGCATTTATCTTTTACGTATGTAATTTTATGTATGTGTATTTTATTCAAATGTAATCTTTTAAAGCAATTTGTGCAATTGATTTTGTAAACAAAAATACTTTCAGTAATAACTGCGTTTTTAAAGAAATTATTAATTATCATCAAAGTTAATACAAATTTTAACCACTAATCCATTTTCCTCAGTGTACCCGATAACTGATTCTTTCCCTCAAGAAAAAAAAGTTTTTAAGTTCTTAAAAATTGGTATACTAACTTCAATTATTTTGCTTCAGCCATTCTTACAAACTTGTTATGCTTAAACTTAAAGTTACTTTTTTCTGTTTTAAATACTAATTAAAATTATAAAACCCCCTCACTAAACATCGTCAGCAGTATTGTGAAGCAGTTCCGCTTCCTCCTCACAAAGTAATTTAATGTTTTTAGTTAATTTCTATCTAGCTAATTGAATTTCTACAGTAACTCGATGATTTAATTATTTCATTTGTTCATCCTACTAAGAAAAACTGTTTCAAATGTGTTAAACTTTTCAAACTACGCAAAGCATAAAACAGTTATTGAAAAAACTTTTTTATTTATAAATAAACCATCAAGCGTTAGTTTTATTGGTTGAATCTTGTTTGACTTTTCATGGCCGGGGGCTGCATTATTTTGGTGGCCTTTTCTATGTGCCACAGCGTAAAAATGACTCAAAAAAATACCAAATGATCCTCTTGACTATTTCGATACCCCTAACATTATGAGTCCCGGGTCTATAGTCCTTCAACCCCCACCCCACCTCCTCAAACCAGCAATGGAAATAAAACATAAGTATATAAATAAAAGTTATATATATTTTTCGATAAATCGAAGAACATTTGTTTCCTTATTAAACAATCTTTAATAGTAACTTGTTACTTTATATAAAAAATCTCGCTTAATTTTATTAAAGAAATTATAAAAGAGCAACGTTTCAAAAATATTTGCTCTAAGCGTATTTATTTTGCTTGAAGTTTTTTCGCGTTAAAAGCCATTTTTCTTTTTTTAACTATCTCTCATCAGTCCAGCTAATCTTATTGTGCTTTTTTGTTTGTTTTTGAAATGTTCTCAAAACGACTAAAAAATCTGGCCGGTTTTTTGCAACTACATATTAGGTCCGTGGTCAATTATCAAGTGTGATCGCACCCGCTTCCTGACCAAGCCGGTTGCATGATATTTTCCCTGTTGATTTTTGTAAATTAAGGCTATAATAAAATTTCAACCTTCTTATTAACGCTGTAGTTCTTAATAAAGCAAAAGACCCAGAAAACAGGTCACATGGAGCTCAGCATGTCAAATAAGTTAATTCTATTTGATTGACTTTTTAGCAACTTTTCTGCATTAAAGCAACTTTTCTGCATTAAACTTTTTACTAAAAAAACTTTTGCTTAAACTGTTTTAATACCAGTTTTGGAGAATTATTAAATTATGTAAATTTCAGCAAGTTAAACAATCATATGGGGGGGTGGGGGAGTAATGAGAAACTGATAACTATTGTTATAAGTTTTTATAGAAGTATTTATTTTAATACCTTTGCATGAGCATTAGTAGCTCAATTATTAGATGTGATGTTATCTGAGCAGTAAGGCAACAGTAATCAAAGGTTCAAATCCTCTGGGTGAATAGGAAAGTTTTCATTGTGATTTTTTAATCTTATCAATATTTTATAAATACAATAATATGGGTACAAAAATTTAAGACAAAGCAATTTAAGCACCCTGCAGTTGTGGTGTAGGTCCCTGTTAGTACCGCACTCAACTTGTTTTTCAGTGCAGCGGCCACTACCTTAGTTGTGATTTATTTAAATGTAATTTTTATACTTGTGTTGTTTTTGTTTTTTGTTTGTTTGCTTATTTGTTGTTTTTTTTGAGAAAGTATTGTGGTTTTCAAATATTTCTTTAATCAGTACAAAAAAGTTCATAAAATGGTTCATTTTCCTAAATAGTATAATTTTTATTTTTTCACTGTTATGTAAATAAATTGTTTCAGTTTTTTCAAACTTTCTGTTTTTTTAAATTCAAAATAATACAGTTCAAGCAAAAAAGAATTACAATTGTTAAAAAAAATTGTTAAAGTTATTGTGTATTATACATATATTATACCTGATACTCAACTCATGCGTAACACGATTGTTACTAACTTAACCTACTGACATTTACATTTAAAAACATTTTTACATAAAACTATACAAATAAAATTTTTATATTAAATGTAAATGACATATTGTTGTCAATTTAAATAAGTTTAAATTTACAGAATTTTTTCACAAATTTACATAAATTTCTTATATTTCCTTGCAAAAAAAGTTCTGAGCGACTTGTCATAAACAGATATTATTTAATTACATAAAACTTTTCAATGTAATCAATCAATGATGTTTATTTTTTATTATGATAATTATCAAGGTGGTAATTAGTAATGTATTTTTATTTACTGATAAGTGTTTGTATAAATAGGTTTGTCTATATTAAAAATATAGTAGCATTAAAGGTGATCTAACTTAGATGACATTAACAAAAGAAAAGTTTAAACTCTAGACAGACTCTTTCATGCCATTAACTCAGTTTTAATTTCTGTCTTTAGCTCCATGTCAAAATGCACGTATGAGCACTACTGCTATTAAGTTAAGCATTATTATATATAGATTACAATTTACATAATTAAAATTTTTGCAATTTTATCATAAGCAAATTTAACTATTATGTAAGTTCTTTTTTTAAATAAAAAGTTTAAAAAATATATATCCCATATTTAATTAATAGGAGATTATAAAAGTTTGTAACTATGAAAGAGCTTAAAGACAAATTAGTAACAAAAAATTGCATTTAACTTGCAATTTCTCGTTACGAATTTTTCTTAGGAATTAGTATGTTTTATTTAAATTATTAAATTTTTTGTTATCTGATTTTAAAGTTATGACATTTTATCATTTATCTATTTCGATTAAAATTGAAATTTAACCAAAAAGGTATTAATTTTGTTTTTAAATTTAAAAGATTTCAGTGAATCAGTTGTTAAAACTTAGAACAGGATATTTTAAGTTAAATACTTATTACCAAAAATGAGAAAAAATTTTTGCATAAAATAATATTTCTATTTGTATTGATATGCAAATAGAATAAGAGAGGAAATTCCAAAGACAACCTCTCCTGTCTTTATATTTTTTAATTAAACAATTCTAAAAAACTTTATAGTCAACTTATTTTTTTTTTTTAATTTTATAAATGTCTATATTGTAAATTTAGCTCAATCTATTGGTAGACAGTTGTCATTCGGTGATTACATTCTTATAAGGTAAGAATCCTGAAGCGTAATTTACCACTATTTATATAGTAGTTGTTTAGATTAATTTTGTTTGGATTAATATATTGTGCCCAATTGTTGGGACTTGTTTTTACCAAAAAATATATGTATCATCTGCAATAAATATTCATGTTTTTTTCCACAAATTGAAGTCTTTGTCATAAATAATTTCATCTTATTTATATAGACTTCTATAGACACGTTATAATTTTTTTTATTTATTTATTTTTTTATTTTTTTGTTATTTTGTTTTTTCTTTAATTTTTTTGTTTGTTTTGCTTTTGTTTAAAAGTTGGTATAAAATGCTTTAAGAACCAACAGGTTTAATTATTCATTGCATTTTTTATTTTCGGACCAACAAATGCTACCGTCAGTTATATCTTGACATTGTGCAGGTATCTAGGTGCATAATTAATTTTTCTTGCTTTTTTTGAAGTTTTCCTTTAGTTATTGATCTTTTTCATAAATTTTATTAAATAAATTCCGCGCAATGTAACATGGAGAAATTTTGTCTCTGAACAAATGAAATAAAAGAAAAACAATTTTTTTAGCATTCAATAAGTTTTTAATTTCTTTTTTCAACAATGAACCAAATCAACTTTATGTGACAATATGACAACAATAAGTAAGAATATGAGATTTTTGTAAGAGATTTTTGAAGCCCAACAATCATTAAAATAGCTTTTATAAAGATTAATTTCTGAATCTTCACCGACATATTTTCACCAACATACCAATTTGATACTGGGCTGCTTTTTGCAAATACATCTCATCCATACCAAACAACTAATCACTTGACACATAATTTTTTTTGTAACAACTTTTATAGCCTTGAATGGATTTATATCACCACATTGAATTTTTCTTAGTAAACTAAAAAATGGTACGGTCAATTGTTCTAATGATAATTTATGCGTCTGTACTGAAGTTTAATGTAAATTAGTGCATAATGTGCAATGGAAGCAGAATATGGAGGTCTACCTTGAGGAGAATAGTATCTTATTTCATTTAACTCCATCAAAATTAAATTCATACCATTAGCTTTATTTCCTGTATAGTTAGCACATTTTTTAAAAAAAGCAATAAAACACTAAGGTTGTTTTTTCACGCGGAATTTATGACCTCAAAATAATTAGTTCTTTTTTTTGTTGCTAACACTAATTTTTAATAGCTCAAATTTAGCAACAATAAAATTTTTTTTTCTTTTTGCCTTTCATTAATTAATGTCTTTAAATCAACAAAAAATTGTAAAATACTACAAAAATTTAATCGTCTTTTTTTATATAATTTTACAGTTTTCAATAAGTTGTAGGCCAATTTAATAGACATTGAAAAATGCCCCTTCTCTTTTAGGGATGGCGGTGCAAATAATGTTTAATCAAAATTTGCTACGGAAATGAACATCAATATGCTTAGCAAATAACAGGGTAAAACAGTTTTAGAAAATATTTGAAAGCAAAATCATAGTTAATACTTATAATTATAATTAAAAAAACTCAACAAAATACCAAAAAAGGTGTTTTTCAAAAGGAGCTTTCTAAAAATTTTATAATCTGCCTCGCAATGCTTTACCATAAAATTGTCCATAACAACTGCCTAAGTGAGATATAAAATTTTACCTATTAATTACAAAATAACAAATCTTTTTTTTTTTGAAAATCTCCAGAAAATTTCCCAAGTTAAAACTTTCCGGGAAATTTTTATCCTTAATCAATATTTTAAGTAACCTTAAACAGGGTGGCCAGCGGTCCTTGAAATCCTGGAAAAGTCCTGGAATTTTATAGATCCTGGAAAAGTCCTGAAAAAACACCCCTTTTTACAAAAAATCCTGGAAATCATGGAACTTTTTTTTATAGAGTTCAATATTCCGCTTTCTTGTTTTCATCTTTTACAAAACTTTTCGTTTAATTATGTATTTTCTGGTATGATGAAAATATTTTTATTAATTTTACTATCTGTATTATTAATTGTACTAAATATTTAGAAAATAGAATATACAAATAATATATATAACAATTAATATATAGTATAACTAACATAACGCCCAAGTCAAAGAACTGTCGTTTCCAAACAGAATGGCTTTACAATAAAAAGTATTCTTCTTGGGTAAAATTATGTTTTTCAAAGCAAGATGTAATTGGTGTCAAAAAATATATATTTTATATATAATGGTAAGCATATATATATATATATATATATATATATATATATATATATATATATATATATATATATATATATATATATATATATATATATATATATATATAGAGATTGATAGATAGATATAATATTGTGGTCAGCGTCATCAATTACTTGATGACGCTGACCCCAATAGGTCAGCAAAATATCATTAATATATTATTATACCAAAATATATTTAAAAAATAGTTAAACATATCGTATAACAAGAAATGACTTTTAAAGATTATATATATATATATATATATATATATATATATATATATATATATATATATATATATATGTATATATATATATATATATATGCATGTATATGTTTGTATGAGTTTGTACAATTTTATTTGCACAAACTTTACATAAATATATGTATGTATATATGATTAATATTTAACACAAACAATTATATGTATGTATATATGATTTATATGCGTATTCAAATATAAATATTTAGTTGTTTTGTTCTAAGGAAATATATTTTGCATTTACTGGTCCATTTTATTATCGAGAAAAAATCAATATATCCTTGAATAACCCAAAATTTCCTTGAATAATCCTGGAAATATCCTGGAATTTTAAATTTACTTTTAGCTGGCCACCCTGTTAAATCAAGTTGGTTCATTTTGGGGCAACTTTGGCACCCTAAAAATTTGATGAACTAGTTACTTTATCCATGTGAGTAGTTAGAACAGGTTGAATATTCCATTTCATGGTCTCGTATATGTAGGCCGAATGCCAACCCATGTAATTATGCAGTTTCTTAAGTAATTTGTAATTATGATTGGACTATTTTTGTTTTTATGTTTCTTATCAGATATTTGTTTTACATTTCAAAACATGAAAAGAAACCTGGCTAAAACATTTGAATTACTGTCTTGTCTGCTACAAGCATGCATAACTTTTTTAAAATGAATCCCTTAAAAAAGTATAAATTTGGTCATACATATAGAAAAAGGGAGCTTTAATGTTTAAGTTATTATTAGTATAGTAATAAATATTATAATTATTATTAAATTATTAATACAAGTGTTTCCTAAGTATTTGTTGACAAAACTGATTTTTAACTTGATTTAAAGGGTAAAACTTGATTTAAGAGTTAAACTTGATTTAAGGGGTAAACAGATCTGTTGACCAGCCTCACACCCCTTCTTCATCTATTAGACTGGTGTAGATATATTTATACTACATTGTTTCTAGTTTAGGATGTAAAATGCTGGATTTAGTTTTTATGTACCTCATTCTATTATCTCCTAATGAGGGTACAGCTCTAAAACTCAGTTTAATGGTTCTGAGGCCGTCTGGTTGTAAAGAAAAGTTCCTGGACTGTGTGATAGCTCTCAGAGAGCCTCTCTTGATTTGATACAACATGGCATTGGTTGTATCAGAGTACTAACAATACCATGTTGCGCATCGATAGTGTCTCTGTTCATACTTTTGGTGTGTGTTGTCAGGGCAATGTTTCAGCTTTTTATTACAGCAAAGGGTTTATTAATAGTAATGAGGCAATTACTTGGACTATTAAATAGTGTACTGAGTACTATCTGTGCTTTGAATAAAAATCTTTAACAAATTTTAAAATGATCAAAGTACCAAAAACTATAAAACTTCAAAAAACATTGTCATCACCAAGCTCTCTAAATAAATCACTAATATTCGTGATCTTCGAAGTAGCTTTTCTTCTGTTTCTGAGTTTTATCTCTTGCAATGTTCACCAGACCTACTTGCTCTTTGTGAGACTAATTTAACTTCGGCTTTCTCATATTGTGATCTAACTGTTGATAGTTATCTTTCTTTAACTAGTAAAGACTACAATAGTCACATGCTTGGCCTGGGCATTTACATTCATAAGAATTCACCCATTTGTCGGGAAATAAGTTTTGAATCCACTGACTAATCTTTGTGCTTCATTTAGCGCACTTCACTCTATCAACTTTCTCTTTGTTCTGTATTGCTCTCCTTCATCTCAAGATTGCACTCTTTTAGATGTTATTTCAGATAAAATTGACCAAGCCCTTTCTCTTTATCCTTCAGCCAATACTGTTGCTGTTGGTGACTTTATTGTTCATTGCACTGTATGGATTGGCTATAGTGTCAGTGATTGGCTATAGTGTCAGTGACTCTTCAGACATTAAGGCTCAATAACTTTTACCTTTCTAAATCTCTAACTCAAATAGTCAACTTTCCAACTCACTTTCCAGACATCCTGAATCATTTACCTTTTCTACTCGACTTATGTCTTGTTTCTGATCCTAGTCAGTGCCCAGTTTCTCCATATTCACCCTTAGGTGCTTCTGATCATGGTTTGATCTCTTTAAAACTAATATCTTATTCTTCTTTATCATCAGAATTTCCTTATCATCGTACCTCTTACAACTTACCTTAAAACTGGCTGGGGCTCTTTTCATGATTTTCTTTGTGGTGGCCCTTGGGTAGAAATCTTGTATCTTCTTGCTGATAAATCTGCTTCTTATATAACTTCTTGGATTCAGGCTGGCATGGAATCTTTTCCCTTTGACGATTACAAGTCAAGCCTCGTTCTTCATGGTTTTCCTCCCATAGTGCTACTGCAATTTCTAATCAAAACCATTACTTCTGTATCTATCAGCAAAACAATTCTCCAGAAAACAGGCGTCTGGAGCTGTTGTCTATACTTTCAAAATTATTTAATAAATGTCTATCAAAGTCTTGTTTTCCAGTCTGCTAGAAAGTGGCATCAGTTATCCCTATTTTCAAAACCTCTGGAGAGAGGTCTGACTCGTCTAAATACAGTCCCATTAACCGTCTTCCTATAACAAGCAAGATTTTTGAGTCTTCAATTAACAAACACTTAATCTCTCATCTTAAATCTAATAACTTACTTTCTGATCATCAATATGGATTTCGATTTTCTTGTTCTATAGCTAATTTGTTAACAGTAAAAGCCGATAGGTTTTATTGTGCAAAAAGTAGATAGAGAAAGGTAAAGGCTATAGCTCTTGTCATTTCTAAAGCTTTTGATAAAGTTTGGCATGCTGGTCTTCTCCATAACCTTTCTTCTTACGGTGTATCAGGTAACCTTTCAGAATATTGAATCCTTCTTTTCCAATCTTAGTATAAAGTTGTCCTTGATGGACAGCACTCTTCTTCATTTCCTGTTGCTTTCTGTTGCCTGGTTCCTCAAGGTTCTATCCTTGGCCCTATACTCTTTTTAATTTACATTAACGATCTTCCGGATATTCTCACATCTGAGGTGGCATTGTTCGCTAATGATATTACTATCTTGATAATACAACACTCTCTGATTGCTTGGAGGCCAACATTTTTCAGCTTATTATTATCACAATAATCGAGATCTTCCTATATTTATGAACAATAATGTACTCAATGAGTTATCTACCCTTCATCTTCTAGGATTACCTCCAATCTTTCTTGGAAGCCGTATATCAAATCGATAGCAAAATTAGTATCTGCTAAGGTTGCATCTCTTTTTTGTGCTTGCCACTTTCTTTCTCCGGATTCTATTCTTTATCTTAATAATTCTCAAATCTGTCCTTGTATGATATACTGTTGCGATATCTGGGACGGATCTTTCAATGTTGCCCTTTTTTATAATTTTTTCTTTCACTTAACATAAACTCTGGTATTGTGGTTTATCCTCCTCCGGCTAATTATCATATAGAGGCCACATTACCATGGCCCGCAAAGTCAAGTTCGGCTTGCCAAGGAGCATCATAATCTGCTCTACGGACCGAGGGTAAGGTGAGTTTGGGAAGAACTAAGATATGTTAGAGTGAAAGGCAGAAGTAGTCGAGTTAGAAAGATAACGTAGATAAAGCACACATAAATGCATAATGCACTGTTAGCTAGGTTAACCTAACTAGAGTACGCTGACAAAGTTTTGATTGGACTTCACTTAAGGTTTTGTGGTTTATCCTCCGCCAGCTAATTGCTTTGTGAAGGCCACATTACCTAGGCCCACAGAGACTTGTTTCGGCCCCTAAGGGAGCGTCATAACCTGCTCTACGGACTGAAAGTAAGGTGAGTCTGGGAAGAACGAAGATATGTTTGAGTGAAAGGCAGTCGTGTTAGAAAGATCGCATAGAGAATGCAGACAATTTTGCACACGATGTAAGCTTCTAGTCTAACCGACAAATACTTGGAGAGTTCACTTGACCCAAACTCTTCCTCGACCTTCATTGTTGTCCAAGGGACATAAAGAGAAATTTGCTTTTAAACTGCATGCGGGTTTGTTTTAATCTTAAAAAATATTCTGTACAAAAAAATATTTCTTTGCTTAAAATCGGCTTGTGGGTTTGTATCTTTTTTTTAAATCTTTTTTTAATACTTTTTGGAAAATTTTTTTTTAAATAAACTTGAAAAATATAACTTACAATATAATTTTGTTTAATATTAATATAAAAATATATTACATATGTGGGAGGACGAGGGTGGCAATGCAAGTGAAATATTTGTACGGTATTTGTATGTTATTTTACTTTTATATAAAAAAATTTTCTCCTTTAAAAAAATATATTCTGTTCCTTTAATCCAGGAGGCTTAATAAGCGTGAACTGACATAAGTGCAAACTAGCATAAGTGTAGGCATTGCAAAAACTGGAACAAGTGCGAAGTGGCATAAGTGCGAAGTATAATAAGTCGCATTTTTATTCGGCGCACTTATGCAAGTTTGTACTTATCACATTTCGCACTTATGCCATTCGCACTTATGCTAGTTCGCACTTATGAAATTTGCGTTTATTCAGTCGTCCCTTTTAATCAGGAATTACTTTATTTCTTTAATAAGGATAAAAAGCTCGATTTAATTTCAAATGTCTTGACATAGCTAAATATTTTGACTCTGTTAAAACTAAAAAGAAGTAAATAAAATTTATCAATAACATTTATTAAAAAATTTAATATTATCTTATCTTTTCCTTCACTTATATAATTTTTTTCCTTAACTTTTTTTGTCGTCCATGACGCTCTAAAAAATAAACATTTTGTAGAGAAATTTGCTACTAAATTGCTTGCCCGTTTGTTTTATAAATATGATCATGAATTATCAAATCTTTTAATTTTTAAAACAAGCTAATATTGCTTGTGGGTTTGTAATTTTTTTAATTTACTTTGTTCTCATGTAAAAATAAATTTTTTTATTTTTAAAATCGGCTAAGATTGCTTGTGGATTTGTATTTCTTTTTAAATCTTTTTTTTAATACTTTTTTTTTTTTAATTTTTTTTTTTTTTATTAAAATTGAAAAAGTAACTTAAGAAGTTATGTTAACTTTGTTTAATAATAATATAAAAATATACATTTTATCTTTTTAAAGAAAAATACTACGATTCTTTAGGATAAAAAGCTCGACTTAATTACACATGTCTAGATAAGTGCATTGCTAAATATTGTAACTCTCTGTAAAGACTAAAAAGTAGGAAATAAAATATAGCAAAAACATTTGCTAAAATTATAATCTTTTTGTTCGGAAAAGTAGAAAATAAACTTTTTAATTTAAATTTAATAGTTCCGTAAACTAAAGATTGACAGGTATGTTTCTAAATAAACATTGCACAGACCTGTCAATCTTTAGTTTACGGAACTATTAAATTTAAATTAAAAAGTTTATTTTCTACTTTTTAGTACAAAAAGATTTTATTTTTAGCAAATTTTTTTGCTATATTTTATTACTTTTAGACATGGTGCAAAAACGCATTGTAAGCATACTTAACCCTGCTCTTGCACCCAACCTCCAACCATTATTGTTTTAATGTTGCTTCTCTTTCTCTTTTCCATAAATACTATAATGAGCACTGCTCTAAAGAGATAGCATCTCTTGTGTTATCTACTAAAATTCGTTCTCATGCTACTTTTCATTTTATTGTCTCATCCTTTTACTGTGACTGTTCCTAAGTGCTTTAAAAATGCTTATTCGTCCAGTTTTTTTCCTCGAACATCAGTTCTGGAAAAAAACTGGACGAATAAGCATTTTTAAAGCACTTAGGAACAGTCTGGAATTTGCTTCTTTCATCTTGTTTTCCTGATTCATATAATTTGCAATATTTTAAGTCGTTTGTCAATCTTTATCTTGCTCTATAAACTTCATCTTTTAACATCTTTACTATTAGAGTTAAAAGTCTCTTTCAGTGACTTTTAACTCTAATAGTAAAGATGTTAAAAAAAAACTTTTCTTGGATAAATTAAGTTAATACACTATAATGTATTAATGAAATAAAATAGAAATAGTTAATAAGAAGATAAATTTATTGATTTAACTGTTAAAAGAACTTGTGGTTCCAGGATTTATTTTGAACAAAGTTTCATCCAAATGGAGTTTAAGGAATCTGCAAGACAAGTCTATATTTTAAACAGTAAAATATATAATAAATAATATATATATATATATATATATATATATATAAATAAATATAATATATATATATATACATATTATATTTATATATATATATATATATATATATATATATATATATATATATATTTTATTTATTATATAAATAATATATATATATAATATTTTATGTAAATATAATATTACTTTTTTCTTTATCTTATACCTCCTATGAATTTGTATTTATTCATTTTAAATACTGATATATCTATACATATGTATTTTTATTTTAAGTATGTTAAACTTTGCATTTACTGTAGATTTATGGTTACTCATGTGTCCTGTTTTGTTTTTATTACATTTCTTTTACATGCACGATGTCTAAATTATTATTATTATTTTTTACTACACGCCATACTTTAGTATCTTTGTTTTTGTTCTGAACATCTGTTCAATATATATTTTTAATTATTTTATCCTTTCTCTTTACCTAAATATTTCCTTATTTCACTCGGGCTTGACAGCTCGGTCTAGTCATTTAATGCATATTTTTGCACTTTTTTCAAATATATATATAAATAAATATAAATAAAACTGTAGAGACTGCTTAAATTATCACCATTAAGTTAAAAAGTTAAGAACAGCAAAAGAAGACAACAACTGATTTTATGCTGTGTACTGCTTAAGACATAATACTAGAAGTAGACTTATATTTAATTTTTTTAGAATTTACTTATGAAGAAACTGAAAGAGTTCTTTTAAAAAATCTCTGAATGCTTTCAAATGTCCACTTATGCGAAAAAAACTAACTGTTATAAGTCACTATCCTTTATTTTACTTTAAAGAGTCCAAATGAAGGCCAGTTTATTTTATTTTAATTTTGTTTATATTGAATTGCTACTTACCAGGCCATTTTTGTAACCAATTTCTTTTTTTTATCTATTAAGTACACTTTTTTTGTCCATTTTTTTTTTTTTTTTTCTTTTAAATCTTCTATTTTCAATTTTTTTTTTCCAAAGGTTTTTAATGTAAAAAATATCTAAAATGTAAAATCTTTTGAAAATGTAAAAATAAATTTAGCGAAACATATCAAAAATAAAAAATATCGTATTGTTTTTAAAAAATATTATACATTATTGTTTAAATGATTTCATTTTTATGTTCTAATTTCTGATAATTAACAGTAACTATTTAAATTTAGTTTGACTTCCATTTTGGCATCAATTGGAGCAGCAGCTATTCCGCATGCTGGTCTTATAACAATGATCATTGTTTTAGATACAGTTGGTCTACCTACAGATATGGTTGCAGTTTTTTTTTCTGTGGATTGGTTTCTGTAAGTTGTTAGATTAAAACCTTAAAGCGAATCTAGAGTTATTTTAAAGGGGGACAAAAGGGTAAACTGCATAAAATTATGTCAATAACATGTACACAAAATTTTGACTCTATAGTTAAAATTTTGTCTCTATAGTTACAAAGTTTTGTTTGAAACAAATAATAAGTGTAATTTTTTTTTATTATTTTTTTCTTTATTTGAATTCACTGCCGACAAGGCTGCAAGCAACCACTATTAATTTGGGAGTTACCAGAAAACAAAGAATAGAGTTAAAGAGCAAGGAAACGGATGACAGATGAATTAAAAAGTTGTAGGTTGTGTTAGTAGACGACCGGGGCAACTTGTTTATGATGATGATGATGATGATGATGATGATGATGATGATGATGATGATGATGATGATGATGATGATGATGATGGTGGTGGTGGTGATGATGATGATGATGATGATGATGATGATGATGATGATGATGATGATGATGATGATGATGATGATGATGATGATGATGATGATGATAATGATGATGATGATGATGATGATGATGATGATGATGATGATGATGATGATGATGATGATGATGATGATGATGATGATGATCATAATGATGTTCATAAATGCATATATATACAAAATCAAACATAAAATTTGAAAAAAAAAATGTACTTTAGGATGTATAAATGTTTATTTATACATCCTAAAGTACATTTTTTTTAGAAGTAGAATATGTAGTTTTTAGTTGACTTGTGTAAGCGTACTGAATAATTTTTTTTATTTGCATTAGAAAAGACTATTAAAACAGAATGGGTTTACTTCTACAAAATCTTAGCTTTAGCTCTAAAATATAAGCATTTTAAGTTGAAAAAAAAACAGTTCATATACCCCAGAATGTTACTATTATAAATAATTTTATTACTATTATAAATAATTTTTTTAGAGGTCGCATTCGCACTATGATAAATGTTCTTGGTGATGCGTACGGTGCGGGTATCGTTCAGCATTTATCTAAAAATGAACTGGAAAATATCACTTCAGTTCATAATGCAGCTCAAATGTTTCATGAAAGTTTCAGTAATAGCTTCAGCGAAGACGATGAAGAAAACGAGTGCAAATCAAACTTTTCAAACGGCAAACTAGTAATTAAAACTGATCATGAAAATATGTTCTCTGAAGAATCTTATGAAATAAACTCAAAAAGAATGCAGACATATTTATGAAACAATTATTTTATATTTATGAAACAATTTTTTTATATTTATGAAACATATTTAATAAAGTTCTATTACTACTCTCCTTATTTTGAATATCTGACGCGCGTTATTTTGAATATCTGACGCGCGTTAATAAATGTTCAATAATTTATAAAAATAATAAAATAGTTTAATCAGTTTAAAAATAACTGCAGCGTAAATATTTGGTTGCTAATAAGATTAAATTTTATTGAATTGACATTGAAGCTATTTTTTCTAAAGCTACATTGGGGCCTTGTGTTTCCGCTTTAAATTGCATTCTTTAAATCTCTATGAAACCATGTTGTTTTTTTTAAACCTTACAATTATCCGCGCCAATCGTTTTTCAAAAACTCAAATAATTTTTTCAGTAAATTAAAGACAAATGACTATAAGCAAATAATTAAAGAATATATATATTAAATGGATTTTTAGTGATAGAAGGTTTTGTATAGTTCTTTGAAAGCTTAGGCTACGCACTTGAAACTTTTTGTTATTTACTTTCTCAACGCACTTAATACAAGTTTTCATATTTTTTTACTCTGTGGCAACAAACACAAGCCCGTAACTTATTTACTTGGGTTAGTTAGAGATTTAACATAATTAAGATATATAAAAAAAACCTTATGATTTTCATTTATAAGATGTTTGATTTTATGTTTTTCAGTTTTTCAAAACCGCAAGTTAATGGTTCGACAATAGGCTGCTCTGTCATAATAAAAGATAAAGGTAATTGCATTATAAATCTTTTTTGAAAATAAAAATTTATACTTGTTCTTTTGTTTCATAAAAAAGTTTTCTATTCGTTCCTTTGTTTTCCGAATTAGCACAAGAAATATTAAATTTACTATATTATTTTACATATATTTACAATAATCTCAAGTAATTTAAAGACCAGATTTTTAATTAAATAGCTTAAAAAACATTATAAAATAGACGTGATGCATATCACAATAGTATTTAAAATTTGAACTTAGACTTTTAAATGAAGCATAAGACATAAAACATTAAAAGTCTAACGAGCCGTATGTCAAATTTTGTGTTCATCTCATTCAAATTAATAAAAGCTTTCATATTTAATCGAAAAAATAGATTTTAAACTTGAAATAACTAATTTTTTTCTACCTTTGATATGTTTTTAGAGATACGACTGGTTAGAAATTGAATATATGACTCAAAACTTATTTGAAAATGTTGTTTTCTTTAGTTAATGCTTTATCTTCGTATATCATTAACATCATTTTATACCAAAAAATGCTGTCTCAAAAAAAAGCAAATTTTATACCTTTCTCTAAAGCAAATTTTATACCTGAACTCAAATAATTTAAAGAAATTTTAACGTGAATTTTAGACATACAAAAGTACTAAAATTTAAAAAAATTTCGTTTTTTTATTTTTTAGTTGTGCTAAAAAAATTAACAGTTAAACATAGCAATTTTACTAAAACGCAAAACTTTTCAGCACTTTTTACACCTGAATTAGTTAGCAGCTTATATTTTCGTTGGACTTGTTGCCTGGTTTATTTGCTGTACTCCATTAGAGATAAGCTTACGTTGTTTTTTAGCTTGGTTTGCTGCTTTTTTGCTCTCAGCATTTTTCAACCTTTCAAGTATTTCAGGTTTATTGAGACACTCCTCTTCAAATTTTGGCACATCTACATTTTTTCCTTTTTTTTTTTGTGTCAACGTTTCTAACCTCTAACGTTGTGTCAATTGTTTTTTTTATATATGGTACATTAAAATTTCCTATTTCTCGAGGTTACATCTATTTCTATTGCATTTAAATAATTCTTTTGAAAAATGTGACGAGAGAAGTTTAAGTTTGTATTTAAGCATGAACAACAAATTTTGATGTTAATTTTATAGGCATTAAGAAGTTTTAGTAAAGGCTCAGCATGAGTAAACTTATCTTTATTTAATACTATTCTTGCGGCATTTTTTTTTTTTGTCGATAGAGTGCCGCTAGCTTAGATCTATGGGTACTTGCCCATGCTATATTACCATACGTTTAATAGGTTTGAATGAAAGAGAAATAAAGTTGCTTTAGATTTTTTTTGGAATAATATCGGTTTAGCTTTGTAAAACATACAAATATTGTTTCTTATTTTAGTATTTCAAAAGTTTATGTGGGTTTTCCATGATATATTCTCATCGCTATGATTCCTAAAAATTTTGTTGCTTTGGTTCTTTCAATAATTTTTTATTTTATTTTTAGAAATGGTAATACACTTGGTATACTTGGTACACTTGGTATAGATTTTTTTTTCTTTGATTGGAATGGAATATAATGTAGTTCGTTTTTGATAATTTGTTAGATTTAAACCAAGTATTAAGTTTTTCAAATTCAATCATTGCAGTTTTAAAGAGTTTTGTGATAGAAGTAGATAAGTAAAATAAATTAGAACCATCTGTAAACATTTTAGCATGGAGTTTGTTTGAGACTTTTGAAAGATCATTGATGTTTAGCAAGAAGAGAAAAGGAGCTAAAATGAAACCTTGAGGAACTCCGTATTTAATTTTAAGAAATTTTGAATGGATATTTTTTATCTGTAATAACACATTACTGTTGGAATTAATTCGTTAAGTATTTCTCGAGTTATTTCTAATTATATCCGACCGTAATGTAACGTTTTGAGCCCAACTAATATTTTAATTTTACAAAATTTTATGATCGGCAAAAAAGGGCCTAAGATAAATTTCAGTACCTAAACCATATTTATTTTAATTTTTTATTATACAATGATTTTGGAATATACAAGAGATAAATTTTCTTTACATTTAAACATAAAGCATAAAATGTTATATACGTTAGTAATGAAATCTGTAAAGCTTTCATTTTTTTTAAGTAGTCGCTTAAATCTTAGATCTGACCTATTTAAACGTGATTGGGATGACGTTATAAAAAACAGTGACACTAACTCTTGTTTCCATTAGTTTTTTACTGAAACAACATCAATTTTGGATCGCTATGTCCCACTCAAAAAGACTAGTATTAAGAGCTTCAAACGTCGATTTAAACTATGGATTACAAAAGGAATCATAAAATTTATTCAAATACGCAATCTTTTTCAAAAAAAAATGTTAAGATCAAAAGATTTAATAAATATAAACACATTTAAAACTATTTTTAAGCCATATAAATTCATGATAATCACTTTAATTAAACTTAGCAAGAAAATCCATTTTAAAAATTTCTTTTCAGATATTGTTAAAAATCTTTGCGAAATTTGGAAAGGCATTAATAATCTAATAAATATCAAAAATTATAACAGCTCATCTCCCAACTGCTTACCGACTCTAATCTCTGAAAAATTTAACACTTTTTACAAATGTTGTTCAAAACCTTAAATCCAATATTCATTTGTCTTATGTCAACTATCAAAATTTTAAATATCTAAACTTACATAGTCTACTCTTATCTCCAACAAACATTCCTGAAATTTTATTTCTTATATCTAAATTGAAGCCGGGAAAATCATTAGGTCCAAACAGTATTCCTACAAACATTCTTAATGATTTTAACGACGAATTTTCAAATATTCTGTCTAAACTATTTAATATCTCATTTATGAATGGAACTTTTCCTGATATTTTAAAATTATCTTGTACTATTCTAATTTTCAAAAACGGTTCTAAACTTTTATGTACTAACTATATACCTATTTCTTTTTTATCTAACATTGGTAAGCTGCTTGAAAAATTAATGTTTTCTAGAGTGTACTCTTTTCTAAACTCTTTAAACTGTTTAAATGAGTTTCAATTTGGTTTTTGATCAAACCATTCTACCTGCCACGCACTGATATGTGTAACTGAAAAAATTAGAAAAGCTCTTGATACTGGTCATTTTGCTTGTGGTGTTTTTATCGATTTACAAAAAGCTCTCGATACCGTTGATCATAGCATTTTGATTTCTAAGTTAGAGCATTATGGAATTCGTGGAGTTGTAAGTGATTGGTTTCGATCTTATCTTTTGGACCGGAAACAATATGTAAGTATTAATGGTTATACTTCTAGTAAAAAACGTGTTACATGTGGTGTTCCTTAAGGTTCCGTTCTTGGTCCTCTTTTGTTTTTAATTTACATTAATGATCTAAATAACTCTGCTCACTTCTCGTCGGTTCATCTATTTGCAGATGATACCAATCTCTTACATGTCAACAAATCATACTATTCTCTATGTAAAAATATAAATTCAGATGTTAAAGGTATAGTTCATTGGTTAAATGCCAACCTAATATGTCTTAACAACGAAAGGACTGAACTAATTTTTTTTTCATCTTCTAGAAAAAACTGTAACAACAACAGAAAAAACTGTAACAACGTTGAAATTAAAATCAAAATAAATAATAAACAACTATATCCCCCGAGAGTTATTAAATACCTTGGTGTGTTAATTGATTGCAATCTTTCGTGGAACTTCCATATCGATGAGCTGCGCAAGAAACTTAACCGTGAAAATGGTATGCTTTCAGTAATTCGACATTATGTCGATAAAGTTACTCTTTTAAATATTTATTATGCATTATTTTCATTTCATCTTAGTTATTGTTGTCAAGTTTGGGGTCAAACTGGCAACTATCATATCAACAAACTAATGTCATCTCAACGCCAATTCATTGGACTAATAAACTTTCAACCTTTCAAATCAGATGCATCAGATTCTTTAAAAAAACTTAAAATTCTAACCTTTCATTTGCTAGTAAAGTTTGTTAATCTTCTTTTTGTTTTTAACTCTCTAAATAAAAATTTACCTTCTTCTATCGCAAATTTTTTTATAGAAAATAGACTAATTCATACAGATTCTACGCGAAATATAAATAATGGAAAACTTATGCACAATAAGTCTTCCATTTCTACATATATAATTTTTTAAAAAGTTTACTTTATGTGTGTCTATGTTTAATGTTTATATGTTTATTATTAGTCATATTATTTTGAAAAATGGTGTCACTCCTTTGATCAGACTTCTGTATGAGTGACACCATCCATCCTAACCATGAACTTATTATAATAAGAAATAACATATCGTTTTACTTATTATTATAGTAATTATTATTATTTATAATTTTTTTTTTGTTATTATTATTATTATTGTTATAAATTATTACTATTGCTTATTATTTTATAATTATTGTTATTGTTATTTACCTTATTATTGTAAAAATGATTTTAAAATGGAGAATAAATAGCTTGTTGTTGTTGTTGTTGTTAAAGCGCGTAGAACGGTTATTAATATTTATTGCGCAAGCTGCGTGTTTCTGATGTTAATAAAGAAATTTAAGCTTTGTTTTCTTAGTGCTATCCCTTATGGGATTTGCATAGTTGATGTGTAATAATGCGTAGTTGATGTGTAATAAACGAACTGTGTAATATGTACATTAAATCAGCGACGTCGAGAGGTTTTTGAAAATCAAACTTTGTGCAAACTCTAAAGTATTTTCATTTCAAATGAGAATATTTTGAATAAAATTGCGATAATAAGAGTCT